GGGGGGGGGGGGGGGGGGGGGGGGGGGGGGGGGGGGGGGGGGGGGGGGGGGGGGGGGGGGGGGGGGCATGATGCTCCTATCTTTGAGAGCGTTTCTCCCTGTTTTAGTCAGCCTTCTGCCCTTCCCTGGTGCTTCTGGCATGTGCGGTAAAGGTTGGCAACTTCGGCGGTAATGTCCTCTTCCTTTCGGGGGATTGCGCATGCGTGGGGAGAGGCTAAAGTGGGTGAGGGTCGGGGGGGTTAGGCGACTAGCAGCTGTGCATCTCTTTATATGTATGCAAAAAGTCCTACCTACACACCGGAAGATCAGGCTGCGGGAAGGAGTTGGCGTTTTGGATGCTATACACTTTCGCCACGTTTTTTTTCGGGGCATGACAAGGGCGATGCGGGCGGTTGCTTGTGATTCAGGAACATATGGGTGAGCGAAATGTGTCACTGTTGCAATGAGGCCTCTGCGCACAGCGCGATGGTTGCATTCTGTGCTTCCTCTTGCCTACGCTCGCACTTATCCCCCCACCCTATGTCTCCCCCCAGGTGGGTGTCTGGCAGCAAGACCCCGGAAGCAACAACGAAGACAAAAAGCCGGGGGCGACAAGCTTGAGAGATGCATCAAACGGGGAGACGTCTACCCCCGAGGCAAAGCCCTCTTCCTCGTCCTCATCCTCTTCCTCGACCTTCTCCGCGTCTCCCGCCCACCTATTGCGAAGTAGAGGCTCCGCCCCCATAGACGGCTCCTTCCTTGTTTGTGGCGGCAGCATCTGCGAAGGGGGCGTGAGCAACAGGTCGGGGCTAGCCGGGCAGCGGGCCGACGCTGCGGCGGGTGCGGTTGACGGGTATACTCGAGCGCCCCCCGCTGCGCTCGCGGGTGACGGGTCAGCGGGAGTCCGGCACAAGGGTTGGCTTCCGGAAGGGAGAGGACGGGGGCGGGGGGAGATAGACGGGGTGACGGCGGGCAGCACCGCTGGAGGGCTTGAGGAAGAGAGAGAAAGCGCCGGCGGTGAGGTGGTCGCCACAATCGGCGCTGCCGCTGACGGCAGCGACGGTAACGGTCACGGTCACGACCGAACATTATCACCACAGCAGCAGCAGCAACAGCAGCAGCAGCAGCAGCAGCGGCGGCAGCCGCTGGCCTTTCCGCGAATAGTGGTGACCTGTGAGATGCTGAGGGGGGTGCTGGGGCCGGAGCTGTACGAGAGTGAGGTGGCGGCCAGGGTCGCCACGCCCGGGACGTGCACGGGGCTGGCCTGGACACCAACAGGCGGGGAGCTGCTGTTCATCGAGTGCACCAGCATGCCGGGGACTGGGGCCGTCAAGCTCACCGGGAAGCTCGGAGAGGTAAGCACAGCGGGAGGCTGGCTGGCTGTCGGGAGCGGCGGGACCGATTCTGCCTGCGGGGGGGCGGGGGGGTCGGCGGCGTGACTGAGGCTTATCGAGCTCTTGGCGTGATTTTCGTCTTGTTTTTGTTTGGCTACCTTGAGCTGCTCAACCAAGTGTAGGGTGGCTGCTCGTGCTGGATCGGCCGCGCGTCACGCTACGGATGATGCTGTGGGCCTTCGAACAACGGCGGAGCTGCGGCCTCAGCGACGTTTGGCTTCGGAACGGTTTTTGATACGGGACACGAGGGACACGAGGATGGTAGAGTTGCGACGCCGGAACAGCCTTAACGAGTGCATTAATATGTATTATTTTATAGTGCGGTTTTCTCTCACGCACCAAACCGAACGGAAATCCCCCCTGCTTCCTATGCTCTCGGTCCCCGCTGTTGCTGTTGGTAGGTAATGCAAGAGTCGGCCCAGATCGCGCTCAGCTGGATCCGCAGCCACGAGCGCGAGATCTGCCACCGGTTGGGCCTAACCGGCGGCACCGTCCACGCGACAGCAGCAGTGACAGCTACTGGGCGGGGTGGCGGACGCGGCGGCGGCGGCGGCGGCGGCGGCGGCAGTGAAGGTGGCTCCACTGGCCGGCGACGGTCGCCGTTGTCGGGGAATGAAGACGGCGGCGGCCGCGGCGTGTTGTTCCCTCCAGGATTCTTCAGCAACACGGACCTGCACCTGCACGTGCCGGCGGGGGGCGTCTCCAAGGACGGCCCTTCGGCTGGGGTGGCGATCACGAGCGCGCTCTTGTCGCTGCTGCTTGGGCGGGCGATCGATACGGCCGTGGCGATGACAGGAGAGGTGCGCGTGGCAATGTCGGAGCGGGTTGTCAGGGATCAGACTGTTCCTTGCATATTTCATGTCTCTCGAAGGGTTTAGGGTAGTGGTGTGGGGGGTGGGAGCTAATGCCGAAGCTTAATATTTGTATCCTCTCTTCTTGGTTTGTTATACTAGAAGTATATCCGTATGTATGCTCCTCCTCGGCCACGAAACGCTGTCCCTCCCGCCCTCAACCTCAATACCCCCCTCGCCCCCCCCCCCACGGTGTTTGCCATCGGGGTTGGGTTTTCGGCGCTTGGCAGCGATGTTGTAAAACATGCCGATCACTTCGTGAGCTCGGCAGCCAGGCTAGCCCTTTTTTTTTTGCCCCTCTTTGTTGTTTTGGCGGTAACCGTTATGGTGGTCGAGTGGATCATGTTGTGCGGGGTGGAGAAGCCTCACTCCGCGCAAGGGGGATGATCGCACCACGTTGTGTTAAAATGGTCAAGCACCCTCGAGGCAGTTACACAGTGCTACAACTGTCCCTGGAGTGAAGGCACCAGAAAATATATCAAGTCATACGAAGCTGCCACCCGTACTCAAGGAAGTTAGCACAAGATGCCGATAACAATTAGCAGGATGCAGCGCACCCTTCATGCGACTCGCCGAATATCCACGGCC